TCAACCCCAGGCTCTCTCGATTTTCAGTCCCAAATCAAATTTGGATGAATATTTCAAAGTAGATAGGCTAGAGACACGTTAAACTCAACAAATCGAAAACAACTCATGTTATTCCCTACCCCTCCACTCCAAATCCACCTATCTTCCATGTCTGCATTTCTATCAAAGGCATCACCATTCTTCCAGTCTCCCAGATTGTTTAATCAGCTGCCAAATCTTGCTGTTCCTACCTCTACAAAATCTCTCCTCTCTGACCCCTTCTCTCCACTCAACAATTACTACCTTAGTTCAGGCCCTTATTATCACTTCTTACCTAGATTATTGTAGCAAGCTTTCTCATTAGTTTTCTGACCTCAAGTCTCTTCCCACTTGGATTTATCCTACACTCTGATCTCTGAAAGACCATGGAGAAAGGAAGAGGTTTAGAGACGGGCAGATGTCCTGATTCAAAATGGGAAGGGAATACAAACTGCAAACCATATATCAATGAGTGTGACTTTGATTCCTGGCAAAATTCCACCGTGTCTTATAAAAGAAATGGATAGTTCCTAAACATCTAGAAAAAGAATAGTGATCACAGAGAACTAGTGTGACTTCTGAAACAGCTCATCTCTTTGGAATGGGTTACCAGAGCAGGGTAATGCAGTAGATAGCCTAACTTACCTAGATTTTAGCAAAGCACTAGGCCAAGTCTTATATACTGTCTCTGTGGGAAGGAGAGATGGGCTAAGTGGTATGTACAGTACCAGTCAGATAGATTCAAAACTGGCTTAATGACCAGATTCATAGAGGATTCATTAATAGGTTGGTGTCAATTTGGAAAGAGGCCACTAGTAGAAGTGCTCCAGGGAACTGGGCTTGGCCCTTTGCTGTTTACCTTTTTTTTTTAAATCTTCAGTGATTTGGATAAAGCTATGGGTGGTATGCTTATTATTAATATTATTTTTTAGGCAATTAGGGTTAAGTGACTTGCCCAGGGTCACACAGCTAGTAAATGTCTAAGGCCAGATTTGAACTCAAGTCCTTTTGACTCCAGGGCTGGTTCTCTATCCACTACACCACCTAGGTGCCCCAACAAAGCTATCACTCTTTTTTTTTTTTTGGTGAGGCAATTGGTTAAGTGACTTTCCCAGGGACACACAGCTAGTAAGTGTTATGTGTCTGAGGCTGTCTTTGAACTCAGGTCCTCCTGACTCTGGAGCTCTATCCACTGTGCCACCTAGCCGCAGTCCTTTCAAAAGCTCCTTCTGCATAGTGGGAAAGCAGCCAATATAGATTCAGAAGGGAAAGGGAGACAGGGATCCCATTCTTCAATGAGTAATAGCCTCCAACCTTTCCTGTCTTCCTACACTGGGATCCAGCGACATGGGCCTCCTCCGGGCTGCTCCTCAAAGAAGACACTCCATCTTCCGGCTCCAAGCATCTTCCCCCACACCTAGAAAGCTCTTCCTTCACTATCTCGACCTCCTGACTCCCTTCTAGGTGCCAGCTAAAATCCCATCTTCTACAGGGAAGCCTTCCCCTACTGCCCTTAATTCTAGTGCCTTCCCTCTGGGATGGTCTCCAGTTTATCCTGCCTATAGCTTGTTTTCATGTAGTTGTGTTTACATGTTGTCTTCCCAATGAGACTGTGAGTTCCTTTACAGCAGGGGCTGTCTTACTGCCTTCTTTGTATACCCAGCCCTTAGCACAGTGCCTGACACATAGTAGGCACTAATCGATGTTTGCTGACTATGGTCACACAACTAGTAAATCTATTTCTTCTCACTCTCTATTCCTCCCACACGTTACTGAAGCATGAGTCTGACCTTCTCACTCCTTTGCTCAAGAATTTTCAGTGGTAGGGGCAGCGAGGTGGGATAGTGGATAGAACCCTGGCCCTGGAGTCAGGAAGACCTGAGTTCTAATTCAGCCTCAGACACTTACTAGCACTGTGACCTTGGGCAAATCACTTAACCCCGATTGCCTCAAAATTAAAAAAATCTTCAGTGGTTCCCCAATGCCTTGAGGATAAAATGCAAACTCCTCATCCATCACATTTAATTTCAGGATACGTTACTCCCTTTTATATCCCCCAGGTTCCAAATGGGCCTACGTGCAGTTTCTTGCCCTTCCCTGCTTTTGCACAGGCTGTCCCCCAGCCCAGAATGTGTTCCTTCCTCATGTCAGGCTCTTAGCACCCCTGGCTTTAAGGTTCATCTCAGGTGCCACCTGGGAGAAACACGCTGTTTCTGCGATGTACTCCTCAGAGGCTAGTTTTGTCATATCTGACTGTGTGTCACCAGTGCCTAGCATGCAGCCTTGGACTTGGTGGGCTCTTAATGCTCCTGGAAGCAGTCAGAGCTGGCACATGACCCGAGCCAGCCCATCTGACTCCAAACAATTTCTACTATGCCACAAAGTTCTCTTCAGTTCTACTATGCAGGGCAAGACGTCTTCCTCCCTCTCCAATCTCTTAATTCGGACGTTCCTGGAATTGCTGACACGGGCCCAACACCCTTTCCACAAAGGCCTAGTTTACTGAAGGGAGGAGACTGGAGATGACCGCAAGGACCCTGATTTACACGTGGCATGACATATGATGCTTGTAAACCACTGTAATTTCCACAAAGGGAATATAATAGGAGGGGAGAGGGGTAGTGGAGGAATGTGATTCCTAGGAGAGGCAGGCCCTAGGATCATAGATCATTGGCTTGAAAGCTGGAACGGGACCTTAAAGACCATATGGACCAGGGTTTCTTAATCTGGAGTCTATGACCTTATTTTTAGAATATTTTGGTAACTACAATTAAATAAACTGGTTTTCTTCATAATCCTGTGTATTGTATACATTTAAATTCCACAATTTTGAAAATATTAATTGGGAAACCCCATTGTCCTGCAAGAATGAATCTGCCTGGTACTCACGTCTTATCAGTGCCCCCTGACCCTCTGATTAAACCCTGACCAGAGGGCAAGGCCATGGGCTCCAGTGCCTCTATTTAAGGAGGGGGCTCAGCACAGTTTTTGTTTTTTGTTTTTTTTTCATTTTTAGCCAATTGGGGTTAAGTGACTTGCCCAGGGTCACACAGCTAGTAAGTGTCAAGTGTTTGGTCTGAGGTCACATTTGAACTCAGGTCCTCCTGACTTCAGGGCCAGTGCTCTATCCACTGCGCCACCTAGCTGCCCCTAGCACAGTTTTTCTTCACCTGCCCCTGTGCCAGGCACTTTCCCCCACCCCTTCAGCTTTCTTTTGTGTGTTGTCTTATCCCGTTAGATTGGAAGCTCCACAAGGGCAGGGACCATTTGTTTTTTTTTTTGTTTTTGGACCCCCAATGCTCAGCATAGTTCCTGGAGCATAATACAAAAAAAAATTAAGAACTCTTGATAGAGACCATTTCCTTATGAAGAAACAAGAGTTCAAGGAATTTTCCAGACACCACAATTATTAGGCATGAGCCAGAAATGCCAGACCAGGGAGAACACCGCTCCTACTCTAGCATTTCCCCTTCTACAATGGCAGATCTTGGTAAGGCCTAAATGGATTCTCTCGAGGCTTCATCTAGATTTGCCCTTCATTTCCATCCTATCCAATTTCTTGGCGAGAAGCAAGTGGACAACTTTCAAATTAGCTCAATGAAGCATAGAACCTCCAGTTGGAAGGGAGCTCAGCAGCCATCTAATACTAAAACCATGACAAGTGGTCAAGGTGACGGAGAATACCCCGCTAAGTGGTTATACAGCCTCTGCTTGAAGGATTTTGATGAGAGGGGAGTCTATTGCCTCCTCAGGCAGCCTGTTCTACTCCTGGATAGCTGTTAGGGCATCCCTAACTTCATGGCTAAAATGCAACCTTTGCCATCCAACTGCTCCTAATTCTTCCTTAGGGGCCCAAATGAATTCTTCCTTCATATGACAGTCCTTCAAATCCTTGAAGACAGCCATGCTGTCCCTCTGAACCTTCTCTTTTCTAGATAAAACGTCCTTCAACTAAACCTCATGTGGCATGGACACAAGATCCTTCCTTCTCTTTGTTGCCCTCCTCTGGACAGTCTTCTTAAAATGTGAGACCCAAGTCTTAACCGAAGAGTCCAGATGGATCAGTCTGGCAGACTAGTGTGGGGTACAATGGATCTATCAACTCCTTGCACCTGGAAGCCAGGGCTCTCTTTGATTTAATTAACATTTACTAATTGCAACCATGTATAAAGTCCTATGCTAGATAAAAAATTCCATTCCTGACCCTTCCCTGATCACTTCAGATACAGATCGAGGATTCCTTTCCTTGTTCCCAGATCAGGAAAAGGCCTTTTTTGGTCCCCAAGAGATGAAAGGCCACCAAAATATTGGGGAGAAAAAAGTCTCAGGAAAGACAAGCACAGAGCCACTATACCATGCCTTAAGGCAAGATAGCTTCCTTTCTACCTGGTGAACTTCATTCCCGTCAGGTTAGGCCTAGCTGCATAGGTCAAGCAGCCTGAACCCCAGGCTCCAGAGGCAAGGTCCAGAGCTCTTTCAAAGGTCTCCTCTGACTGGGAAAATGGATGAAACAGGACTCTAAAAAATCTACCAAGTCAAGGGAATGGTAGGATTCCATTTCTAAGTCCGAAGCCAGGTAGCATAATACACAAGCCTTCTGGAGAAAACAGCAGCCTGTGTATACTATGCATATATCCCTTCTCTCCCACAAAGTTCCTTTCTCTCCTCAGGGGTTGGTAAGCTCCAGTGACTCTTGAGCCGAGAACAGCAGCAATTTCATTCTATAATCTGTTAAGGTTTATAACTCCTCATCACATCAGCTTGGGAATACAGGCTGAAACTAAGGCTCTAAGAGGTTCGCTGCCTTTGCTACCATCACAAGGCCAGTAAGTAGGTGTTAGAGCCAGCACTGGAACTCAGGGCTTCTGGCTCAAAGTCCAATGTTCTTTCCACTGCCTTGTCTCACCTCTCTCCCCAACGCCATGCAGCCATGAGAAGGCAAGCCCCCCGTCTCATCTACAGAAGCCCAGAGAAGTACATAGTATGGAGCAGCTGTTTCCTTTTTTATTGCTTTTAAGTTAGACAGAGAATGTGGGGTTCAAGGAGGGTACAAGGAAGGAGAAATGAGAAGATAAAAGTGGGCTGAAGTGACTCCTGGGGCTGCTGCAGACATCAGCGGCCTCCTGACAGCCAGGAAGGTGTTCTCTCCTCCTGAGAGGGCCCCTACTCTTTCCTACTATATTCTTCAGGGATGTGAGAAGCTGCAGCCTTCAGAAGATGCTGTTTTGGTCAAACTGAGGCCTGAGAAGTTGTGGTGAAAAAGAGGACAGATAACAGGGCTATCCCTGACTGAAGAGAAGCCTATTTCTTCTCCCCTAATAAAGCTCTCAAAACAGATGTATCCACAAACATACTGGGACATCAGAGATTTCAAGGCCACAGGCAGTCAAGCAAAGTCTGGAATGAAGGACTTCCCCTTTCTTCTCTTCTCTCCTGTCAGGGCTAATTCTTGCCACCACTTTCCTTTTTCTTGGCCTCCTTCTCTGGGGCCTTCAGCAGGGCCAGTTTCTTGGGCAAGCTGGTGCTGGCTTTCATCATGACCTCATGTTCAATCTTCTTTCGGATACCAACCTCCAGGTCCTGAGGAGGAATATGCAGGATACTTAGGACAGTATTAACAATAAGGAAGGTCACGGGAAATCAGCCTCTAACTTGCAAGTCCAACCTGCCTGCCCCCTTCCCACCAAAGATAAAGATATTGGCTTAAGCAGAGTAAACACATTTAGGACCAAGAAAAAGGGGTAAGAGCAAGTGACCTGTGCAGAAGGGTAAATTTTCTTAGTTTCCAGAAGCCCTCTGTCAGTTTAAATTGACAGCATAAATCTGTGCATCAAGGTTCCCTGTGCTTACGTGGGGAGGTAGCAGAGGAGTATGTGAGAGAGAGAGAGTGTGTGTGTGTGTGTGTGTGTGTGTGAGAGAGAGACAGACAGACAGACAGAGACAGACAGAGAGAGAGACAGAGAGAGAGAATATGATACTGGGCATTCCTGGTCTCATGAGAATGAGAACAGTCTGTACAGAGTATGTATATGTGGGGGGGGGGGGAGGGAAGGAGTCAAAAAAGTGGTGAAGGGAACCTTGATTATGGAAGCAGGGTGAGCACTGAGATCTACCTGAAAAGTCTTGGAGAGAAGTAAGAAAGTGATGCTAAGCTCCACAGATATGGGAGTAAAGTTAGAGGCATGTCTGCATAGAGTGTGTGGTGGAAGGATGGTCAGCACTGGGATTGGAAGTAAATGTGTCAATGTGGTTAAGACACTGGCTTCTAGAGAGAGAGCAGGAAGACAGACTGAACCTGTATAGAGGTGGCCAGCACTGGAAGGTGCATTTTTGCAGTATGGGAAAGGAACTTGCCACCAGAGACACCTATGGCCCTGAAGAAGGAAGCAATACTGGGAGAAGCTGGCAGTGACAAGGGGCAGTCATAAGTGGAGAAAAGCATCCTGGAGAAAAGCCCAGGCACTCACCTTCTTTAGTTTCCGCTGCTGGATGACCCGGGCCTTTTTGGGGGCTATGATTCGCCCTGGGGAGGGGGGCACACAGAAGTGAGAGGAGATCTGAGGAGCGGAGTGTGGGGGAGGGAGACAAGATGCATGGCAGCAAGAGAAGGGGGTAAGGGGAACAAAGGGCATGGAGCAAGGGGAGGTGGGGAGGGGGACAAGAGGGTGTGAGGGCATGGGAGTGAGGAGGACCACAGGGACAAAGGAGTGTGGGGGTACAGGAAGGGATGCAGGGAGAAGGATCATGGGAAAGGAGGACAAGAAGTGTGAAGGCACAAGAGGATGGACAGAAGGGGCACAGGAGGGCAGAGGATAGGGGAAAGGGGCCAAGGGCTGTGAGGGAACTAAGAGGGAAGGAACAGATGTAGGGGCACAAGAGGGAGAGGGGACACGGAAGTGCATGTGGTGAGGGGGACCGTGAGAAAGTGGGGTGGGGGGGCGTTGAGGTCTGAGAGATTTCGATCCCTCAAGGACCGGAATATAGGACAGGGCTGTCTGGGATGAATTCACAAACTCAAGCAATCTTTAAGTCAAGTTGGCAAAAGTTTATTGTTACGCTTTTCAGCAGGCAAGGATTCTTAAGGAACCTGCAACCTAACAAGAATGACGCTAACGCTTATATAGGAAAAGTAGTGGATTACGGGCCAAGTACGCTAATTAGGTGATAACATACAACTACGTCATTCGCTACCCGAAACGGTGTATTTTTGGTCTGTTATGTCTGAGACAAGACAGCTTTAGGAGCCGACGTCTATAACTTGAGCTCTGGATCGTTCACGATAACGGAATCACTACATGACAAATTTTGTTGATACGAGATGAGATGAGGCAAACTCTACAGAGGTCAGCCTGTTCTTGGAACGGGGGAAATGGTGAGAGTTTGCCTCACTGGGCCCACTTCTGGGTCACTGCCAGAGATGGGGTCTCTGGGTTGGGGGCAAAGTGCCAAGGATAGTGTTTCTGCGGCCAGGGAGAAACTGGGGTCCAAGCACAAGCGCCCCATCAGGGGCGCGGGGGAAGGCGCGCAAGAGGGAGAAGGGGATGCGGGAGGGGGGCCCACGGGGACGTGGGGGGACGTGGGGACCGGGAGCCTCGGGCGGCGCGCGCATGCACAGCCAGGCTCTTCGCCCCGCTCCTCACCGCCTTTCTTCGGGCCCCGGCAGGCCGAAGAAGCGGTGGCCGCCGATGCCTTCTTGGCCGGCCTCCGGGCCTGAAACTTCTGCTTCCCTTGAGCCATGTCTGTACCTCCCGACTGCAGAAAATGAACCCGGAAATCGCAAGGGCTGACGGGATACCATAGCGCGGGCGGCACGCGCAAGGGATGACGGGATACAGCGTACAGAGTGGCAGCACGCGCAAGGGCTGGTGGGATACAGCGGGGCTCGGTGTCTGATTTAAAGGGACAGCAGGCAGGGTAGGGGGCGGGGTTCAGTGGGATTATAGGATCGTAGATTTAGAGATTTAGAGCGGAAAGGAAATTTACATGTCGTCAAGTCCAACTCCATCATTTTACACGAAAGCAGGCCTATAGAGCTAGGATCACATCTAGCGTTTGAACCCATTTGAATCCTGGGATCCAAATCCAGCCGAAAAACTTGGGCATCCTCAGTTCAGCTCCCTTAATTTACAGACTGGGGAAATTCAGGTTTAAACGATTTAGGCAAAGTCACAGGTAGAAAGCAGCCCAGTGAGGATCTGAACCAAGATTCTGCAGCTCAAGGCACTGTGCTCATCCCCACCTTGTCCTCTTCCAAATTTAAAACGTTTTCTTATCATGAAACCCAAAGAATCCTCCTCTTTGCAGAAAACATGAGTTTTCTGGACTTGGGAGTCAGCAGTATTGTTGAGGTTTAGAAGTTTAGGGATGCTGGGACCCCAAAATCATAACATGTGGGTCCTACCCGAATGAATTCGACCCAAGCCTTTTTTTCAGCCAGAGACAAGGTTTATTAAAGATTTGCCATATTAGCCAGACTCTTAAGGAATCTAAGCATTTGTGACGCTTGTATTGACAAACGGGCTTGGGCAAGTCTCAGCCATCGGCTAGATTTTAAGAATCTGAGCCCCTTAAAGTAGACAAGATGAATCTTATATACAGAAAGACTGTGGAAGGGATCCAGGATTGGCCAAGTAGTTTGGGGTGACTGGAAGGGTCTGAGTGAGTCCTGTCCGAATGAATTCAATCCAAACCTTCTTTCAGCCAAAGACAAGGTTTATTAAAGATCCGCCATATTGGCCAAACTCTTAAGAAATCTGAGCATTTGTATTGCTAATGCAAACGGGCCAGATTTTAAGAATCGGAGCACCTTAATGGAGGCCAGATGGACTTATATACAGAAAGACAGTGGGAGGGATCTAAGAGTGGCCAAGTAGTCTGGGGTGACTAGAGGAGGGTCTAAGGAGGATCTGAATGGGAGTGGCCAGTAAACTGGGGTGACTGTGAGGTAGCAGAAAGCCAGAGACCTGGACCACATGGTCAAGGGAGAATGAAGCCTAGATAGGATAAAGGGTAGGAAGTGGCTGGGGCCATCGGGAGGTAATAGACAATGGAGGGCTAGGCTAGGATAAGGGTAACAGAATTGGGAGATTAAATAGAGAATAATCCTTGCTCTACTGCACACTTGGGGTTCAAATGATAATTCCATTCAATAAACCTTCATGAGACACCTAATAGTTGCAAAGTCCTGTACTTTTTTCCCCTCTAGAACTCCTAATTCTCCAGATGCTCCACCATCTAAAGCTCTTGGCCCCTGAAGACCCACTTCAAGATTGGTTGGTTCCTTCCAAGACTTCCATTTTTAAGGAAAGTGCTTAAGCCACCCAAGTAGGTCTTCACTGGACTTTCTTCATCATGCCCCCAGGCATAAGCAAACACCTCCTCCACACACCACTCCCTTTACTTTGCAGGTCCTTTTCATGTGTTTGCTGCCTTAGACCATGAGAATCCAAACTCTTCAAAAGCAAGGTCTTTCTGTTTATATTTGTATTTCTAGTGCTTAGGCATATAGTAAGTGCTTAATAATGCTTGTTGATTTATTGATTTGCTGAGGATAAGGATAAAAATACAGTATCTGCCCTCAGGAAGCATACAGTCCAATAAGGAAAACAGGACATGTATGCCCACAAATATTCTACAAGATGGACTGGGATGGGGGAAATGGGAGGATCTAGACCAGGGGTGGGGAACCTTCAGCCTGGAGGCCACGGGTGGCCCTCTAGGTCCTCAAGTGTGGCCTTTTGGCTGAATCCAAACTTTGCAGAACAAATCCCCTTAATAAAAGTATTTGTTCTGTAAAACTTGGACTCAATGGACTCAATCTAAGCTGGGCTTTGAAAAATGGGAAGGATTTCAAAAGTCAACTGTGAGGAAGGCGTCTGTTTCAGGGGTACAGGGGCAGCCAAGTGGAGACCAGATAGTAGTTCAGTTTAAATGGAGTATAGATTATGGGAAGAGTAGAGTAAAAAAAGGCCAGGAAAGCATGCTGGAGTCAAATTGTGGAGGCCTGAGGAGTTTATATTTTTTTCTTATAGGGAATAGAAAGCCACTGAAGGTTTTTGAAGTCGGGAATCACAGTGGCCAGGCCTGTTCATTCAGAAGATTATTTTGTTGGTAGTACATACTCAATAAATATCTATTAAGCACCTACTATACGCCAGGCAATGTACTAAACTCTGGGGATACAAAAAGAGGCAAAAGACAGTCCCTGCCCTCAAGGAGCTCACAATCAAATGGGAGAGACCACAAGCAGATTAATATGTCCAAACAAACTATATGTGGGATAAGTGGGAAATAATTAAGAGAGGGAAGAGAGAAAGGAATTTAGAAGGGTTGGGATATGTTTTCTGTAGAAAATAGGATTTATGCTGGGATTTGAAGGAAGCTGTGTGATGCAATGGGAAGAGATGAGGAGGAAGAACATTCCAGGCATGGCAGAGGGCCAGAGAAAAGGCCTGGAGCCAAGAAATGGAGCATTCAGTTTAAAGAACAGCCAGGAGGTCAGTGTCACCTGACCTAAGAGTAAGTATCTGGTGTAGGGGGTAAGACTTGAAAGATGGGAAAGGCTAGATCATGAAGGGCTTTGAACTTTGCACAGAGAACGGATTGAGCTGGAAGCAAAGAAACCAGTTGGGAGGCTCTTTTATTAGTCCAGGTAAGAGGTGATGGGGGCCTGAACTAGGGGGGTTGGTTGTGAGAGTGCAAGGGAGAGGCCAGTGCCAAGAGATGTGGAAATGTTAGGACTTGACACCCAGTGGTGTACAGGAAGAGCTAAGAGTCGAAGATGACTTTTTGTCCTCTGGGAAGTACTACACAAATGTAAGCAACTATCATTAATAAAATGTTCATTGTAAAAAAGGTTCAGTAATGGGAGGTCATTTAGTTCAGTAAACACTTATGAAGCAAGGCACTGAGCTTGGGGCAGGGAGAATTTAAACAAATGGACACTGGGTTTAAAGAGCTTACAATCTAATTGGGAGGTGGAAGAAGGGAGACTTGGGATTTGAGGAGTTTGTGTCCAGTCAGGAGGTCGTAGAGGTCAGGGCTGTCTGCAGTTCCTTGGGGGAGAAGACACCATGCTCTGTGATGATGCCACCAGTGATGAGCTCGTGAGGGGTGACGTCAAAGGCTGGGTTCCAAACTCCAATACCTAGAGAAAAGGGAGCCTGGATGAGTGGGTGTCCCGACTGGGGTCTTGGCTTCAAGGAGAAGTTATGACTCATGCCCCTATCTCCCTTGACCAGTAAAAACTGACTGATACAGTGTTTTAAAAATTTGCTGACATTTTCTCATTGGCTGTCCTTTCAGCCTCCTTTCCAAACAGGATGAAATCTCACCTCCTTCATGGAGAAGGAGCTATATAGGGCTTATTCCCATCTCCTTTCTGTTCCCCTTCCCTCCTTGAGCTCTATTATGATTATAATTATACCTACCATTTCTAAAGCATTTTAAAGTTTATCAAATACTTTTCTTAGAAAACTGTGATCTAGGTAATGCATTGTTGTTATTATTCAGTCATTTCTGACTCTTCTTGACCCCATTTGGGGTTTTCTTGGCAAAGATACTGGAGTAGTTTGCCATTTCCTTCTCCATCTCATTTTCCAGATGAGGAAACTGAGGCGAACAGGGTGAAGTGATATGCCCAGAGTCACACAGCAAGTACTATGACTATAAAATCAGGATAATTACAACATCTACCCACTTTGCAGAGTTGTTATGGGGAGCAAATGTTTACAAAACATTTGTAAAGCATTTAGAACAGTGCCTGGCACATAGTAGGTGCACTATAAAGGCTTCTTCCCTTCCTGTCTCTTCCCCTCCTTGTCTAGCTCTATTGGATCATAACTACAATTTCCATTTATTTTTATTTTATTTATTTATCTTTTTAGGTAATTGGGGTTAAGTGACTTGCCCAGGGTCACACAGCTAGTAAATGTCAAGTGTTTGGTCTGAGGCCAGATTTGAACTCAGGTCCTCCTGACTTCAGGGCTGGTGTTGTATCCACTGCACCACCTAGTTGCCCCCTGCAATTTCCATTTCTAAAGCACTTTAAAGTTTATCAAATATTTTCCTTAGAATCCTGTGATTTATGTAATGTGAGTAGTATTAGCCTCATTTTATAACTGAGGAAACTGAGGCATAGAGCAAGCAGTACTAGAGCTATAATTTCAGCCTTGGTCTCTTGACTCCAAGAGTGGCACTCTCCTTACCTGTAGTATGTGATTTGCCTTCTGGACTCTGTCTATACTCTTTTGATATGTGTCTGTTTGGAAGTTGCTCTGAAGTGTTTCTAAACCTTTGTTTCCCAAGGGGTGGGGAACCTGCGGCCCCCAGGCCACATGTGGCCCTCTGGGTCCTCAAGTGTGGCCCTTTGACTGAATCCAAACTTCACAGAGCAAACTCCCTTAATAAAAGGACTGTACCAAGGACCTACAAGGCCACATGTGGCCTTGAGGCTGCAGCTTCCAGCCCTGATCTAGATCAAGGATGTGGAGAGATTTCAGGAGGTCCCGGGGGGAAAAAAATCACATTTTTATTTTCATTGATCTCTAGCTGAAATTTAGAATTTCCTTCGATTAAGAATTAAAAAAAAAATTCTTCTGGGAAAGGGTTCCTAGGCTTTGGCAGACTGACTGCCAAAAGGGGCCTGTGACAGAGAAGAAGTTAAGAACATGACATAGGTCCTAGATGTCTGTATATGTGAGGTATGTATGTATGTATGCATGTGAGCCCCTTAAGGCAGGGATGGCAATATTGGATGTCTTCTGAGACAGTGTCACGTACCTCAAGTTTAGATTAAGTCAAAGGGCCACACTTGAAGAGCTAGAGGGCCACAGGTGGCCTCGAGGCTGCAGGTTCCCCACCCTTGGGGTAGGTTATGAGGCAATAGGAAAGGGGGCAGATATGGTTTCCTAAATCCCAGGAGATAAAACAGCCCTACAGATTCCACCCTCAAGGTCTAGTAGGATGGTGCTATTCTCTCCCTGCTACCTGTCCCCAAAGGGAGACATGGAGTTCAGAACACAAACAGGAATAAGACCTTCTGGTCCTATCCGGTCCTGTGATTGACCAACCTGGGGCAGCAATCCTGGTCCCACAGAGGCTGGTCAGCTCCTGGCCTGGCCGCTCCTCGATGACGATCTCCTGACCTGTCTTCAAGCTGAGATCACAAGAGGAAACAGGGGCAGCGACGTAGAAAGGGATCCCGTGGTGCTTGGCAACGATGGCCAGCTGGTACGTCCCCACTTTGTTGGCGGTGTCACCATTGGCGACCACCCGGTCTGCTCCCACAATGACAGCTATGGGGAGAAAGGGAAGGACCTGTTAGCTGTCTGATCCCAGACAAATCTCATCACTTCTGAGGTCCAGGTTCTTTGTCTATTAAATAAATGAGGGCAATGATGATCACATTGCCTGTCTTATGTGGTGGTTTTGAGGCAAGCAGTATATACACTTTGAAGAATCACAGAAATATGTATGATTATTATTATTATTATTATTATTACAAAAAGCTAAGGGGTAGAGGATTGGCAAGAAAGTCTCTAGAGTATTGGGTAGCTCTGCTGGGGAGGATTTATAGAAATGATGAATAAGATTGGATGGAGAAGACATAGTTGAGTTATGAGCTGCCCAAGTTGGGGGGGGAAGAGATTGTAGATCTAACTGAAGTATTGAGGGCCAAGTGACAAGGAAAGGGAGAGGAAAGGTCAGAGATTACAGGGGCATGGGGAAGGGGAACCATGGCATCCATGGGGGTAATAAGGATGGAGACTCAGTCAGTAGTGCAAAGAGCACTGGAACTGGAGCCAGAAAACTTGGGTTCAAATCTGGGCACTGCCAATTAAATCTTGGGGAAATTCTTCTCCTTTTCTGAGTCTCAGTTTACCTGTAAAATGAGAGGGTTGTACTTTGTCTTTCAGAACCCTTACAGCTCTTATGAACTAGTACTTCCAAAGAGAGACCAGGAGGCAAAGGATTCTACAGTGTCCCCGCCCTCATGTCACCAGAGAGAATGAATGTTCCTTCTGATCACAGTCCACCCATGAATGCCCAGCCAGACCACTGACCTCCCACCTCCTTGTGGGCCATGGCAGCAGCTACCATGCTGTCAGTGATGAGAGTGGCAGGGATCTTCTCATACACCAGCTCGTAGGCCGTCAGCCGCGCACCCTGGTTGTAGGGCCGGGTCTCCGTACAGAACACGTGCTTCAGGCGGCCCAGGGCATGCAGAGATCTGATCACACCTGTGGATAGCCCACAATCCCCCCCCCACAAAAGCAGAAGAAACAATAAGAAGCCATGTGTGGGGGAGGGAAGAGTAGAGGCCCCATGGTGTGATAGAAAAAAGCAGGGCAATCAGGGAAGGCTTCACAAAAGAGGTGGCAGCTTGAGGAGGATTAGGCTTATGAAAGGCAGAGAGGGGAGGGAAGAAGTATATTCAGGTATGGGGATACAGCCTGTGCAAATACATGTAGGTGGGAGGTGGCATGTCCCATTTTAAAGAGACTCGGAGGTCCTCTGAGGTCCTTTCCAGCTCTCAGTTCTATAATCCCATAACCTGTCCTTTTTTCCCCACTCACCCAGGGCTGTTCCATAGCCTGCAGTGGCTAATGAGCCAGTGTTGCAATGGGTCAGCACAGTCACCTGGCCACCCCCTGGTGCCACGCGCTCCAGAAGGTGCTGGGCCCCATGGTCCCCAATGCTCCGGTTGTCCCTGATGTCTTTCTCCAGCATGTGTTCAGCCCAGCAGATCAACCTGGGGAGGGTGCAGGGGTGGGCAGCTGGTGAGCTGAAGACCTGTCACCTGCCACCTCCACCCTGTACACCTAAGAGGTTTGCCCAGGGGGTGTCTGCTCCCAGCTGTTTCATCCCCAGACCCATAAACAGGTGCCTGAGCTCAGATGTTGGTCCTGAAAGAAGTAGCTGTATAACCTTGGCCAAGACACAGTAAGCATGCTTCAGTTTTCTGTCTACAAAATGAGGATCATAATACCTGTAGTGCTAATCCCCAGTTTGTTCTGAGGCAAGAAATTCCCGCAACCTAGGCAGAGAAGCATCTCCTCTAGAATTTGTAGTGTCACAGAGCTACCTTGAGCATTGAGATGTGACTTGTCCAGGGTCGTGCAGCTAGGATGTGTCAAGAGGCAGGTGAGACTTAAAACTCGGGGCTCCCTGGCTCTTTCTCCACCATGCCACGTTGTCAGAAGATGTATCAAATATCAATTGTTATTGTTGAGTTGTTTTCAGTCATATCTCAATCTTCATGACCCCATTTGGGGTTTTCTTGGCAAAGATACTGGGGGTGGTTTGCCATTTCCTTTTCCAGCTTGTTTTCCAGATGAGGAAACTGAGGCAAACAAGATTAAGGGCCTTGCCCAGGGTCATATAGATAATATATGAGGTTGGATTTGAATTTAGGAAGATGAGTTTTCCTGACTGCAGGACTGACACTCTATCCACTGTGCTGCCTAGTTGCTCAGGTTGAGCTGAATTAAAATTCAGCCTCAGACACTTACTAGCTCTATGACCTTTGATGAGTCACTTAACTTCTGTCTGCCTCAGTTTTCTCACTGAGAGAAAGGGGAAAATAATAGCACCTACCTCCCAAAGCTGTTGTGAGGATAAAATGAAATAATATTTGTAAAGCACTTAGCACAGGTGCTATCCAAGTGTTAGCTAGTGTTATTCTTACTGGTTAATAAAGCTATCAGGAAATTCCTTTACCCCGTTAGTATACTTGCATGAGTGCTCAATATTTTTTCTATTGCATGAAGTGGAAAGAGAACAGAATTCAGAGTGAAGGGGCCTGCGTTGGAATCAGTCACTATTTATATGACCTTGGGAAAATCATCACCACCCCTTCCCCTCTCTATGTTTCAGGTTCCTTATCTAAAAAATGATGAGGTTGGCCAGGGTGACCTCTGTATCCCTTCTTGTCCTAAATCCTACGAATTTCCCAGCTGACTGACTCTTTTTGCCTTCTGAGTTAATGGAATGAGAAAAGTTTCCCAAAGGCGCTACAAACTGACCACTCAGTGTCTGCACGGTCTCCACTCTTGGGCCGTGATCCATACCGCTGGGTGGCCCCAGAACCATGAGAGCTTGGGGTAGGAGAACAGCTCTCTTCTTACCTCTCTCGAACCACACCCTCTGTGGCCCCTTCTTGTCCAGCCTCCTGGGCGGCTACCTCAGACATCTCCCGGGCAGCCTGAGCCATGTTGACAGCAGTCGGCCTGGCTGTCACCAGGTAGTTTAGTGAGTTCTGCACGAAGGTCACCAGGGCCTCAAGCCCAGGTCCCCCTGCACCAGCATGCAGCTCCACAGCCAAGCTCAGGCAGCCCACTATGGCGATGGCGGGAGCTCCCCGTACCTGGGACCAGGAAGAGAGTGTAAATCAAGGGACCTGGTCCCTGATTCCCCAGGGCTCACAGAGAGGTGAAACCTGGCCTGCTAGGGCTCAGGATAGGGTACATATAGCCCTCAGGTCTAGCCCCCTCTGAACTAGAACCCACACTGTACCTCAGTTTTCCTATCCTAGGTCAGGAACTGTCTTTTGCTTCTTTTTGTATCCCCAGCACTTAGTACAGTGCCCAGCAGACAGTAGATGCTTAATAAATGTTTATTGATTGGTTGGTTGATTGAGTGTATGGACCCTGAAGAGAAGGGCTCACAGACTCAGACACAGACTATCAGAACAGGAAAGATTGTTGAGTTCAAATGCCTCATTTTCCAGACAAGGAAACTTTGGATTGGGGAAAGGAAGAGACTTTCCCAAGGTCAAACAATTATTAAGTGGCAGAGGAGGATTTGAATCCAGATACTCTAGAACTAAATCCAAAGTTCTTTTCATTCTGTCATGTTGCTGGACCTCAGGCTAAGGGATAGGTGTTCTAACCTTTGCTTTATCCTAGCTATGTTGGGCACCCAAATTATGCCTGTTTCCCATTCTGATCTACTGTGGCTATATAGTTGTGATAGAGTGTAACAGACCTTAGAATAGAGAGTATGAGGGACTGGGAGGGGCTTAAATAATAGGATTCAGCACTAGAAGGGCCCTTAGAACACAGGACATCAGGGCTGGGAGGGTCTTTAGAATACAGGACGTCAGGGCTGGGAGGGCTCTTAGAACACAGGACACAGAAGATCTGAGCCTGGGGTCCTTTATGGATCCTCCAGGTACAGTTCTCCTCTGCCCCTACCACCCCAGCCCAGGGCTCACTCCTTCACTCCAGACATGCAGCTGACTTAACGCTCCGGTTCTCCCCTGGCCCCACGCCCCCTTCCCTCCGCCCACCTTCATGGTCCTGATGGCCTCCCAGGCCTGGCATACGGAGGTCACAGCCTCATAATGGCTCTGCTGGGGCAGCAGCAGCTGGTCCAGGATGTGCAGGGAACCCCGGTGATATCGGATCGCTTCCAGGCTCATGGCAAGCAAGGGAAGAAGCCAGGGAACTAGACCCAGGAGCCAAGCAGGCCAGCGGGAGGCAGAGAACTAAAGACTCCGTCCTCACGTGGGCCCTGGCTTCCTCACCGCCCTAAAGCGAGTCATTGTTAGGGGGCGGGGCCTGACGAGAGAAAGATGGGGCAGACATTGAGCTAGTTACAAAGCACCAAGTGGGAAGTGATAGTAGGGTTGTACCTGGGCACGTAAAAGCTGGTTGATTGATGGACTAATGGACCTAATGGACTGTGTGGGATTCCTTTCCCGCCCCCCTTCCCAATCAAGGTTACTTTGTGTCGACTTTGTCTAACTCCTACGTGGACAAGTACGAATCTCCTTTCTTCCCTAAGAATGTAGTAAGCTCCCGTAGGGTAGGTAGTTCGGTCTTATCAAAGCGTTCCTAGCCCTCGGCACAGTCCCTCAGGTACTTAATACTTGATTAATTCCTGGAAGAGTCAGAATAACCTCCTTCTCAGGGAGGTGATTGACTCGTCAGAGCCTGGGGTTGTTAGGATGCCGGTTCCAAGCCTCAGTACGTAACTAAGCGGCTACATGACCTTCGGCCAGCCAGTTGCAATTATTTGGATTTGAAGTCAGTGGGCCTGGGTTTGTATGGGGTACTTACTACCTAAGAAGGTAACGGCTTGGGCAAGTTATTTCTCCAGGTCTTCCATTACTCAGGTGTAAATTGAGAGGGCCGGAGACAGTGTCCCCTATAGTTCATTCCAGCTTTAAATCCTATAACTAGATAAACTTTGAGTTCTTTTCTGGCTCTAAAACAATGATTCTGTCATCTATTAAACCTTGTGGTTAAAAGCACTGGATTTGGTGTTACAAAGCCTGGATCTGAATTCTATTTCTCCCATGGACTTTCCCCTCTTGGACCACAATATGGTAACATAAATGAAAAGAACACAGAAATGAAACCTAATGGTGAAGTAACATCTTCCTCCTTTGGAAAGAGCAGTGACTATGGAACTGAAATGTACACACTCTAACTTGGTCATTCTTGGTTTCATTTTGTCTAAACATTTTTGTTACTGGGGAGGGTGATCATTCTAGGAAATGACATGTCAAAACAAAAGGCAACATAAAAACATTTCTCAAAAAAAAAAACAGAAAAAAAAATGAGATGTGCCTAGGTGATCTTCAAGGGCTCTTAGAACTCTAATAAATCTAGGACTCCGTGCTAATTTTACAGCTCACAGGCCCTAATCCCAGTACATCCTTCTCAATCAAGATACCATAGGTTAGGGAGTAGCTCCCCCTACAATCCCTCTTACACTTCCTTTCAAGCCTCTAACCCTAGGAGTACAGGACCTAACAAAGGAAGGGTCGGACAAGCTCCTCAGGCAATTGCGATAGCCCTCCTCTTTTAAAAGGCTTAAATTCAGGAATTCAATCAATCTTCAAACCCCTCAGGGTGCCACAACGAGAGCCAACAACGAGAGCCAACACCTCACCTTTCTGCTTTCCCAGCAGAAGGGCTGGGGGCTGTCAGGATTCAGGTAGAGCTCACAGGCTTGCTTTGTTTCTCAGCTTGCTTGAGCCCTCCCCCCCAGGACAATGGGGGTACAAGGAGGGAAAGGGGATAATAATTCCTTAGCAGCCGCTTCTGGGATAGCTCTGTTTGGACTTCAGTGTTTGACCAGTTTTCAAGGAAACAAACCACGAATGTGTTTTTGTTCCATCTGTGTCTGGAGAGCTAAGAGGTCAAGGATGAGTTGGCCTGTGTAGGCAGTATAGTGTAATAAAAAGGACACTGGACCTGGAGTCGGAAGGCCTGGGTTACTTAATCTGCCTGAGTCTCTATTTCCTCATCTGTCAAATGGGGATAGTATTTAAACCACTTATTTTACAGTTGTTGTCAGGAAAGTATAAGCCTTTGTGAGCCTTAAATGCTGTATACGTGAAATATTATATTTCATATATATGCACACATAAATCATATAAATCACTATCTGTGTGACCCAGAGCAAGGCACTTAAACCTGTTTGCCTCAGTTTCCTCATCTGTAAAATGAGATGGAGAAGGAAATGACAAACCACTCCAGTATCTTTGCCAAGAAAACCTCAGATGGGATCATGAAAATCAGAAATGACTGAACAAAAAAAAAATCATATATACACACATCTATAGAACCATTGCAAACAGTGTATACATATATATGTGTATGTGTGTGTTACTGATGTATTCTTGGTCAATTTCCTTGCCTTCTCTAAGGTTCCTTCTAGGTCTAAATTCCATGACTTCTTTAGTCTCACTTAGGGGAGACGTGGGTAGGATCCCCAGTTTCCCTATTTTAACACTGCCCACTCTATCCCAATCACACAGAAGGGACTGCTGTCTACATCTAATAATCTGATGCACTAACTGGATTTAATAGGTGGGGGTTTAATAACTCATGTCAGAGATTCAAGCCAGATACCACATACTCCTTCCTCAGTTAAATAAATAAAAACCCAATTATTTATAGAGAAATCAAATCTGGGGGAGGGGAGGAAGGGGAGAATTTCTTGGTTCTTGGAAGGCCTGGTGAGAAGAAGCCCATATATATATATGGTTTCTTTGTTGAGTGGAAGCCTCCCTGGGAGTGAGCACCCACTTTAGCTGGCAGAAGTAACCCTGAATTTCTTGAAGAGGGAGGCAAAGGTGTGAGACCAGCCTAGGAAGGAGGAAATGACAACATTAGTCACTCTCAGAGTCTGAATAGTCCGCAACTAGTGAAGAATTGAGGATAGAGGTGCTGCTAGGGCCTGACTGTGCCTCCACGTCTGGGGAATAATCTCTGTCTGACCAAGATCCTCCATGGGGGTGTGCTTCCTCCTCCTTCATTCCACTTAGCTCTGGAGCTTCACCTGACTCTTGAGGATTCTCCAGGCCATCCCGAGACTTCCGACGAACAATTCCCAGGTCGCTGCTAGTGATGGAGGGCCCACTGGGCGTGGGTTTTCGGCTAATTGCCAGCTTCTTGAGGACACTGTTCACCTTGCTGTTGCTGGCCCCAGGTCCTGGGGTAGAAGGGAACCAGGAGCGGCCGAAGATTTCTGTCCGTTTCAATTTCTGTTTGTCTTCATATGCTGGCAAATGGAGATGAAGTAGAGTAAAAGGTAGGGCAGGAGCCAAGTATTTCTTTAACCTGCTCCAGATAGGCTCTAATGCACTCCATACTAAGGGCTCCCTTCCCTCCCTACTCTCACATCCTCTCTCCATCCTGGAGCTTAATGAGGCATTTCCCCTGTCCCCATCCCCTGCTCCCACTCCTGGGCCACTACAGGTGACAGACGAGGACGTACAGTCCAGGCTGTGGTACTTGAGCAGGGCAGCAAGCTTCCGGTCCTCCTCTGCTTCAGGCACCAGGGGGATACTGAGGTTCGCCTTGGTCTGTAGGGCCAGTGTTTTTTCCTCCTCTTCCTTTATGGCCTTTTTCTTTTCCTAAAGTAGAAGATTGGCAAAGGGAAGAGGAAAGGAAAAAAGATGAAGGGGGAAGCATGGGAAAAACATGAGAACTGAGTAGGGGAGTGGGAAACCTCCTTCTGACCACTGCCCTCTAAGAACGTAAGGCTGTCCTATGCAAGGACAAGAGCCCCATTTGCTTCCCTTGCTTCAAGTCTGACGTGGCAATCCAGAGAAATGCCTTGCTCCTCTACCTGGTCTTGCCCATGTGATGGAAACAGTCCTAGATTTGTGCCATGATTACTACTTAAAAAGTAAGTCTCATTTTTTAATTTGTAAAATGAGGGGGTTGGACAAGATGGGACAAAGGCTCCTTCCAGCTCCAGACCCCTATAGACGCATTCATTACCTGTGTGACCTTTGGCAAATCATTCACCCCTTCTGGGTTGCAGTTTCCTCCTCTGACAAATAAGCTGGCTGGATTAGAAGACGTGTGAGGTCTGTTCTGCCTCTAAATTCTATGATCCTGACATGAGAGGCTCAAAAGCTCTATGCAAAGAGACTGACAACTGCTCCCTCTGAGCAGCTCAGACCCAAAGGCACCAGCCTACAGTGACTGCCCACCATCCACAGAAGTCTCCCTTGAGCCCCAGCCCTCCTCACCCTAAACTTCCTCCTTAGCATGCTGTTCAGGGCAAAGTCATCCTTCCACGCACTCTGGGCTTCCTGGATGTTGGACAGGGTGGGAATGGCCTTCTGCAACTTGCTCTGGTCTGTGTTGCCATGCTCCAGGCGGAACATGGCGTCTGTTTCCAGCTTCTGTTTCTTCTCCTGCTCTGGAAGAAAAATGGGGCTGGGTATTTGAAGGTCCTGCTCTTGGGCAGGGGAAGGCCTGTGGGCTGGAGGGCAGGGCTCACCTGTGGTCAGGATCTGTTCATTGTCCGCCACGTCCCAGCGCTCCTCCTTCCTCTGGGCACCACTCACAATCACATAGTCACAACTGGCAGGATCTGTCTGCATCTCGATGTAGTTGACACAGAGGTGACATTTCATTCTGAACCTGCAGAGGAATTTCCAGACAGAAACCATGAGATCAATGAACCATCATCCTCTCAGGATTTACTGGGGAGTCTCAAAGAGCCAGAGCTGGAAGGTGGGCTCAACAGGAGCAATTGTCATAGAAAGGGCTAGACTAGGCTAGGACCTCTTTCTGTGGAGAGGTAGGCATAACGAGCAGAGCCATGGAGGTAATATCCATAGGCTGACAACCGGAAGGGACCTTCAATCTCATCCAGTTCAGCTCCCTTGTTTAAGAGATGAGGAAACTGAGGCTCAGAGAGCACAAGTGATTTGCTGGAGGACATAAATGAGTGTCAGATCCAGAGTTCCAGGCCAGTCCTCTTCCACAACACCACGCTGCCCCCTGAATAACTCTTATTTCTATAGTTTTAGGGGTTATAAAGTTCTTTCTTCACCAACCTGGAAGATAAATGTTGCAAATATTATGACTATTTCACAAATGAATAAAGTGAGGCAGGTTAATGGACTTGCCCCTGGTCACATGTTTGTCAAATGTCAAAGCTGGATCATATAACTAGGGTCAGATTGAACAGGATGGGAAGCTTAATGCAGAGAGCAAAATACAACTTGAAAATGAACTGGTGAGACCAAAGGCAATGCCAGCATGGCAGAACTGGTAGGGAACTCATGCGGCTGGATGAATCCTTTAGCTGAAGGATGACTGGATGCCGGCACCTACTAAGGTATTAATATTTCTGTGCTTATCACAAACTTATTTGCATAAACATAAGAATGGGGTTGTGCTTTCTGTCTTTTACATGTGGGCTCTCCCTCCCAGAGGTCAAGGCTTGAGCAGACTCTGCACACCCCAGCACCACACTGCCTTGGCCTGGGCACTTAATGGGGTGTCGGTGCATGCCAGAGTAGCTGAGGATGCCTGATTTGGGAGAAGGTGCTTCGATCGGGGCTCCTCGTTCCCTTCTCCCACCATAACATAGCCGGGCTGCTTATATGAACTCTAGCCACAGTCTCAAGGAAGTCTATGTCATTCTCTCACCTATCCATGGCCCCTTTCATCCATTTTCCCTCAAAGGCATCTGAGTTTTCTGTAGTCCCCCACCCAGACACAGTACTCAGGATACCAATACAAAGCTGCACCCACCTGTAGATTGGGGTTGTGTAATAATTGCCAACCTTCTTCTTTTCAGCATTGTAACGAACACCTGGAAAGGAAGGCAAAGAGCAAAAAGACTCAGGAAAGCTTGCTGGGCAAATTGGTCCTACCAATGCTTTGTCAGGTCATTCATTCAGTTAACATTTATTAACTGCCAACTGAATACGAGGAAATGTACTAGGTATTAGGGATACAAAGATGAAAATGGTATAGCCCTGGCCTGAAGGAGCTTACAATCTAAAGAAGGGATAATTTATGTGACAAGGCAGAATATAGAAAGTACAAAGAGGTTCCAAAAACTATTCTGAAAAATGAGAGGAGGGAGAGATCATTTTCAACTGAGGGGTTGGGGACTAAGAGGAGCTCTCTCAGAGGAAACTGGCCCCTGAAAGAAGAAGTTGTATAGGCCATCCTCTATGCCAGGTGAATGCTCCCTGTGAATCTCCACCTATAGGTGGAAAAATAGCCTATACAACTATGCAACAACAAAAAAAGCCTATACAACTCACAAGAAGGGGAGGTGAAGAGGACAAAATTGGGTAACAGGGATTGGGTAACAGGTGGCTGTCCACTTTGGCCGCAAGGCAGAGTGAGTGATGGGGAGAAGGTAATTGTGAAATATGGCATAGCCACAGGGTCAGAGACCTAGGGCTGCCAGGGAACTCAGAGGTCATCCAGCCCAGCCTCCTCATTTTACAGATAAGACTGAGGGTGAAAGGGTGTCCTACAGGCAACAGAGAAACAATGAACATTTTTGAACAGGGAAGTGGCACGATTAGACTTTCGTATCTGGAAGATTATTGATCTTCCAAATCAACAATGATGTGAAGGAGAATTACAGAAGGCAGAAAGTAGAGACTGGGATTCAGTTACCCTAGACTAGAGAAAAGGCAATGGAAGAGGGTCCCCAACTGGGATGGTGGCAGAGGGCGTGCCAAGTTGGAGACAAATGCAAGAGATATTTCAGAGACGGAATCAACAGGTTGAGCTGGCGAGGAAGAATGACGACTCACCCATGCCAATGTGGTTCTTACAGCCATCACACCAGATGTTATAGGGCATCTCAAATCTACTCCAAAAAAATAAAGAAGTAAGAGCACTGTTTCAAAATGCCCACTTGGGATTAATACCCAAGAGGTAACCACGCATTCAAAGCTTGCTTCTACCCTAATCTGCAAAAAACTAATGGCCAATTCTTGAGGAATGCAGGGGTCACACGTGTGCCCAGCAGCTGGGGGAAGAATATAGTCCTAAGGCTGCCCCAATTTTACTTTTGGGGGCTATTGCTAACCCCGCCCCAAGCAGCTACACAAAACCCTCCACAAAAAGAACAGGAAGACTGTTGCCAAAAATCAAGTGTGGATTGATTTTTTAAACTAAATCTCACGGACATATTAATTTATACTCAACAAACACTGATAGAGCGCCTTTATGTAAGATACTGGGACACAAGTATAAATAGTATTGCATAATAAACATTGATACTACCACAACAACCCATGGCCCCCCACCTATCATTTATACTGATCTAAGGAAGCATTTCCATTAGCTGCTCCCCTGCTCACCCCTAACTGGTGCCAATCAAAATCAACGAAGGATTGTGGGATAAGCCGTTACAGTGTCTCTCTCAGAAGCAATGGGAGGGAAACTTTTAAGATGATAATTAGACTCTCATATAACAGGATGACAAAAAAAGTAGCACATCTACAGGGATGGAAAAAAAAAAACCTCATAGGGAAACTTGGGTATGGTACCTCTAGCCCAGAAAAGGTGCTGGAGAGGCTGAGGAGTGCCTGGCTGGAGGGGTGGGATGCCCATCTAGCCTCCCTTTTGTTCTAATAATACCCCAGACTTATTATTTGGGGCCTCTTCTGTTTCAGTCCTGAGGTCTAGTTTCCTCAGACAAGCTCTGGAGCTCAGAGTGGTAACATCAACATCCAGGTCTCTTCCAAACACCATTCTCCTCATTATGACACCAGTGGAAATTTCCATCATCTAGACTCCTAATCTGGTTTATTTTGTCAATGAGGGGCCCCAGATTCAAGGGCTTTACCACAGGGATCTGTTAAGCAGCCTTTACCTGATGACAAGAATGCCCTGTGAAAGTTTCCGAGCCCTCTCCCGAAGCGGGTGGCTGTGGTGGTATCGATTGAGAGAGCCATGCTGCAAAACAGAAGAGAATAAAGCTGCTCATCACTCATGGTTGGTGCCCAGTCCAGTGCTCTCCATGACCACAGCTTTTGTAGGAAAACCCTTCAAGGGGCTGGAAAAATATCATGTCAATTCTATTACAGAGATTACCAGTACTCTGGGAGGCTGAGGAAGTGCAGTCTACCCAAAGACAAACACATGCCAAGGTCAAATCTGGGGAAAAGCCCAGGAATTTGGACTGCCTTTTACACATGAAGATTATCATCATCCTAAGATCCTTATGCCTGTGTCATAGGATCATAGATTCAGAACTGGAAGTGCTCTCACCGATCACCCAGTCCAAACATTTCATTTTACAGATAAGGAAACTGAGGCCCAGGGAGGTGAAGGGATATGTCCAAGATCCCACAGACAGTAAACAATCAACAGTTGTCTGGCATGTGTGAGGCACTGTGCAAAAATGAAACAATTCCTGCCTTTGAGTGGCACACATTCTAGTTGAAGAGATGATATATACATCCACAAATTTGTACAGAATAAATACCAGGTAATATTTTAGGGAGAAGGCATAAGCAAATGGGGGCAGGGAACAGAAAAGGCTTAATGCTGAAAATGGTTTATAATATGTTTTACATGACTTCACATGTATAACTGATATATTACTTGCTTTCTCAAAGGGTGTGGAATGGACGGAAGGAAAAGAATTTGGAACTCAAAATGAAAAAAAATTGTTAAAAATAAATAAAAATCTAAAAAAGAAAATGGTTCATGCATTAAGCTTTGAAGGAAGCAAAGGATTCTAGGAAGTGGCAGTTAGGAGGAAGTGATTCTGAGCATGAGGGACAGCCAGGACAAAGGCACAGAGACAGGAGATAGTGCTGTGCAGTGGGAACAGCAAGAATGCCAGACTGGCTGGACCACTGAATACATGAAGTGAAGTCACATAAAAGACAGGGAGGGCAGGCTGGAGCCCGGTGGTAAATGGCTGTAAAGGCCACACAGAGGAGTTCAGACGCAATAAGGAGCCATGGGAATTTACGGAGCAAAGGAGTGACATCATCACACCCGAGCTTTAGGAAAATCTGTAAGGAGGATGGATTAGTAATTGGCAGAGTTTGCAATCACACCCAGGCCTTGCCACTGCTTGATGCTGCCTCTCTGGCACTCTCAAATGGCATCCATTCAAACATCAGACCTCTGTCAGATCACAGGCCATGTCACCACATGGATTTCTTCTAGGCCACAGTTTGATGGAGAAGTAAAAGGATCTCTTACCTTTGCTGGATCAAAGTCTGGAGGGTAGTATTTGTTTACACCTTTTCTTTCACCCTGAAAGTCCAAAATAAAGTGTTACTGTATGTTAAACAAAATAGATATCCCGATGCTGACTGTATGAACCAGATGAAATTCCCAAGAGGAAACAAGCAAACAGCATGGCATACAGTGGAAATATGCCTTTTCAGTAAAAATTCAAGGTGATCAGGACAAAAATCCTGGTAATTAAGGTTCTATATGGCATATAGATCTGTAAGCAGGTAATGAAAGGGTGGGCCAATGGGGGAGGGTGCACAAGGGTACTGATATCTTTGAGGTAACAATCTGTGCACTCTGGGAGTTTCTTAAAGAAGCTGAATTTGTTTCTGCAGAACTCAATCAACTCACCATCTTGGAAAATGTCGACTTCTAAGCAAACTGAATGTGTCCAGCCTGTATAAGACAATCAAATAACATGACTGTACATGGTTCACAAACACACATAAATACCCACACTTTTTCCTATAGTTTGCCAGGAAGTCTGGGTGGTTCCATGGGTTTTCTACTGGAGATTAGGGTGGAGGGCATGGGCCCATTAGATACTCTCCCCAAAGTCCATAAATGACAGATTGAAAATATGAGGTGTCATCATGCTGGGAAGACAAAATATAGTAAAGTCCATAACAGTGAAGAGGGATTTGTTCGTCAATCCCTGAATGCTAGACTTAGGAAGCATCCCATGTTAGAAGAAGGTCTAGGATGAACAAAAGGAAGTCTTTTACACAGATTATACAAGACAATGCTGTACCACACAAAGAGCACTGGAGAAGTGAGGCAATTTGGAGTTCCTGTCTGTGCTGTGAAGTAACTATTATAATATTGTGCATGTCTCTAAAACCTCTCTCTGATTTGGCTTTCTCCTCCGTAATAACAGCTCACATTCTACAGGGCTTGATGGTTTGCAAAGTGTTTCCGTCACAATGATGTGAGGCAGCTAATGGGAGTGTTACTATCATCTTTATTTTACAGACAAGGAAACTGAGAGTTATAACTTACCCACGGCCACAAAGCTAGTGTTAAAGCTGAGATTTAAACTATGCCCAGAGCTCTTTCAGTGACACCACACGGTGTCTTGGGACTAGACTAGATGATCGTTGAGGTGTCTTCCAGTTCTGATATTCAGTAACTCCATGTTCTACACATCTACCTCAGGAAGTGGTCCAGGTGAGAAAAATGAAGTGGCTGAGGACGAATTTAGACAAATTAACAGATGATAGATCTCCTAATACTGTTTTAGGTGAAGTTATAGCTATTCTAGGTCTGATGCTAAGCTAGAGAAAAGGTTCTGCCACAAAATGTCCCTTTGAACTCTCACCAGCTGGAATCAAGAGTTCAATTAATTATGGGATTGAAACAGAGGGAATCATGGTTTTAAGTTTACTGAAGAAGTCTGTGTCTAGCCCTGGGTCAACAGGTGACTTCCATTTACGCTTTTTGCAAATTATGATTCTGTATCTTCACAGCGCGAGAATCATAAGATTCAGAACTGAGAAGGTCCTTGGAGATTATTTAGTCCATTCCCCTCATTTTACAGAAGAGAGCAGAAGGAAGGAAAATAACTTCTTCACCGTCCAGTATGTAACGAGTTGCAGAAATGAGATTTGAACTCAAATCTTCCATTTTCAAAGGGAGTTCTTACTATTACATCATGCTGAACTATAGGATTTCTGCCATTTTCAAATGTTAGCCTTCAGGCAACAGCATAGTAGAAAGAGCTCTGGATCTGGAATCAGAAACCCTGGGTTAAATTTCGCCTTGGCTAATTGTGGTCTGTGTGACCTTGGATCAATGGCTTCTCTCTGGGTCTCAGTTTCTCCATGTGCAAAATGTGAGGGTTGGGCTACATGATCTCCAAGGTCCCTTCCTGGGCTGATGCTTCTATATGATTCTTTGAACAGACCTGGTTAGAAGGCGCTCAGAGGAGAAGGGACTGGGGGCGGCAGGTCTGGTGGCTGGGGATGCAGTTGATAAGGTTGACAGTTCGCAGCGACACCTCCTTCCCCCTTCCCAACCTTTCTGGGGCAAGAACCGCCCTCCCCCTCTCCCCTCCCCCCGGCCTGCTTCTTCCCTTCCGCCACCAGGGCCGGGGCGGTGGACGCCGCGGCGGCGGGGGTAGGCTCCAGGTCAGAAGAGATCGATCCCCGGAATCCTTGGGATTGCTCGGGGGTACGAAGCTCGAAGGCCCCGCTAAACCCCCGCCCCGCCGCCACATCCGTTCGTCTCACCTCAAGTGCTTACCTGCCTTCTTCCCTACGTCATCAGACGGCGCCGCCCCTAAGGCGGGCATCCAGGCCCGCCCAACCCACGTGACGAGGGAGCCGGCAGCGGGACCAACGAGACCCGGAATGCTCGGTGTAAGGCCCACCCCGAGGCTGGGGGCGGGGCTGCGAGGCAAGATCTGGCCCATGTGACTGGGACTGGCTCCGCGTAGGCCGGCCCGAGGGTGCGAGGCAGGTGGGGAAGCTCCAGCTGTTGCTGTCGGGTTTCTCTTCCCGACAGCTCCCTCTCCCGCGTCATCTGCGTTTTCAGACAGCTCGCCCCATAAAATTCCTGGATTTCCAGGCACCAGAAAAAGGAACTTGAACTGCCTAGGGGGAAAGCGGGGGAGGGGGATGGAGTTCAATGCTAGGGTTTTGTCTTCAGTGCCCTGCAGCCTTGACGATAAAAGAGTCACCTGTGTACAGAGAAGCAGGGGAGGGGACTGTGGTGAAGGTCCTGGGAAATAGGGCGCATCCTCCTTCTCTGCATTTCTCTCTCTCACTCTCTTCTCTCTCCTGCTCCATCTTTTTCCTTTTTCCTCTGCCTCCCTCTCCTTTTTTCTTTCTCCCTCTTTCTTGTTATTCTCTCTCCCTTCTGCTTTCTGTCTTTTTCTCCCCTCCCCCTCCATCCTCTCTCTCCCTTCCTCTTTTCTCTGTCCTTATTCCCATTCTTTCTCTCTTCTTTCCCCTTTGTCTCCCTTCCTGTGCTTCTACTCTTTCCTCCTTTCCCTCTCCCCCTCTCTGTTCCTCCTGTCTCTTCCTTCTCTCTTTGCCACCCCTCTTTGCTTTCCGCATCTTTATCTCTTTCCCATCCCCTATCTTCCTTCTCTTTCCTACTTCCTCCTCTTTCTTCCTTCATCCTCTCTTTATCTCTCTCCTTTGCTCCCCCCCCTCCCCTCCCCCCTTTATCTCTGCCTTACCCTCTGGCTTTTTCTCCTCCTTCTCCCTCTCTCTCTCCCTCATATTGTGGCCAGTAAGCAGCAAGTTCAATATCACAGTGGAAGTTTCCTAAGCAAAAACAGGGAGGGAAGGGCTCCCCTCACCCCTTCCTGAAAGGGTTCCTGATCTTCAGAGCTCTGATGATATACTTACAGAAGCACCAGGAACAGGAGTGGGTGTTTGTGAAACCATTCCTTGAAATTGAATGTAGGAATGTCTTCTAAAAAGTCACCTGAATGACATGGGAGGACCTTCTGAAAGACTGGGAGTAGGGGCAGTGGAGATGTGAGCTATATATTAGCAGGCTGCTGGGAGTTTTAATACTTTCTTTTCTTTTCTTTTTTTTGGGGGGGGGCGAGGCAATTGGGGTTAAGTGACTTGCCCAGAGTCACACAACTGGTAAGTGTTATGTGTCTGAAGCCAAATTTGAACTCAGGTCCTCCTGACTCCAGAACTGGTGCTCTATTCACTGTGCCACCTAGCTGCTGCCTAATACTTTATTTCTGATTTAATTTAGTATGTTTACTTTATAATGTGAGTATGTCACTTTAGTCTCAGAACTCCTGGATATCTGAAAAGTCATTCTACCTGGATGAAATCAACCCTGAAACTCACACCTCCTCAGCAACCTCTACTCCTGGGTTCCCTCTGCTTGGAGAAGATGGGGAGGGAGTGGACATCTGGGAACTCCCCCCAAACCCTTTGTTGGGAGGGCATCCAGGGAATTTACCTCATCATTTCCCACCTGACTGACCTCCTTGATTTAATGATCTACAGAAACATCATTCTGCAAGATCAAATAACTCTGCTAGTCACACCTCTTTAGATCATTTCCCACCTTGGCTGCAGACTTCATCATTTCCCTACCTCAGGTTATTTTTATGTGCAGTCTCTCCTCCCACTCCCCCCCCCACTAGATTGTAAATTCCTTGAGAACAGAGACTGTCTCTCTCTTTGTATCCTCAATGCCTAGCACTATACCTGTCACATAGTAGGTTCTTAATAAATGTTTATTGACTCTGACTTTGATCTTAAGAGAACAGGGGCAATGAAAACTAATTTTGATTAATTTAAGAACTTAGAACTTAAGCTCTTAGAGCTGCCCAGAAAACCAGGCAGATACCAGGAGACTGGGAGTGTTTCAGATCCAGGCAGTCCACAGATGCATATGTGCAGTAGGCTTGGACCCATTGCCACCTGGTGGTTTGTGCTGAGATTGTTGAGGAAGTGAGAATTTACCCTTCAGATAAATGTATTGACAGCACCCACTGGAAGTTCGGGCACTGACTGAGTTAGATACTGGCAGTGCATTATGGCCCATCAGCATATGTATAATGTATATATGTGTGTAAAAATTGTATCATGTTCTGGTCCCCCAACCACTTCCACTTCTAGTCAGTATAGGAAGTAAAATTGCAAAGGGGAACCTGGGAGTCACTTACAAACCATCCCCAAAATCAAAGGCTCATAATTTACAGATTGTATCATATGTTAACCCAAAATCACATCCTGGCTGAATGTGCTGAATCAGGGGAAATCATCGAGGCTTTGTTGTCATGAGTTTTTGGTCTTATGATATGTAAATCTCAGATAAATTTGGGATTTACAAAGTAAGACCAGCAGAACACCAAATGGTGCTGATGACTTTGAGATGATGGGGATCTTTTGATTTTAAAGTTTTACTGACAACTTTGAGATAATTTGGTTATGTTAATGTACCTGTATGTGCCCAAGTGGCACAGGTAAAAGTCTTGCTTCCCCAAAACCCTATAAAAAATGAGACCTCAAACTCCTGCCTCCGAAGTGCTCTTGCATCTCTAGTGGGATCATGCTGCCCAGTGGTCCCAACTCTAATTTGAGATTGTGAGTGCTTCTCCCCCTTCTCATTCTCTTCTTCATACTGCCTGTCCCCGTTCACCATCCCATCCCCTGTCGCATCTGCCTTGGTACTCCCTTGTCCCTTGTCCCTTTTCCCCTTGTCTCTGCACTTTCTATACCTTTTCACTTCTGCACTGTGCCTTGTTAAAGTGTGATTGCAACCTCAATTCCTGCTGTCATTGATGGTCTTTCCTGGTGAGTTACCCAAAGAACTAGGCATGCCTGTCCCATTTCACAATTTCATTAATTATCAGTTTGATATGTATTATGACTTTTCATAGTTTGGAAGGTTAAAATTCAGAAATTATCAAATAACTGGGGGCTCTAGGATGATTAAGTACTGTTGGGGCCATGAATTTCACTGCATAAATTAGAAAGTCATACTCAATTAGCATTTGTTAAGCACCTATTTTGTTTGGGGCACTGTGCTAAGTGATAGAGAGACAAAAAATTAAGTTCCTCATAGTTCAGTGGGGGGGACAACATGAAAGATTAAGTAGGACTTGAAAGTCTTGCAGAAAGTGGGGCTTTAATGGAGACCTGAAAGAAGGCAGAGAAGCTAGGAGGTGGAGAGGGGTTGGGAGAGGATTTTAGGCATGGGAGACCCCCAGAAAAATGCTTGGAGTTAGGAGGCAAGAGTGTTGCATCCAAGAACAGTAAGAAAGATGGTGTCACTGGATCAATGAGTAAATGAAGGGGAGTGAAGTGTAAGAAGACTGGAAATGTTCGTTTCTGGAGGAACAAGTTCTGAAGAGCTTTGAATGCCTAACAGAGGATTTGGTATTTGATCCTGTAGGTGATAGGGAGCCACTGGAGTTCATTGAGTATGGAGATGGCACGGTCAGACTTGTACTTTTAGGAAGATCACTTTGGCAGCTGAATAGGGGATGGGCTGGAGCAGGAAGAGACTTGTGGAAGGAAAAGCAAACCAGCTATTTCTATAATCTGGCAGTGAGATGATGAGGGCTTGTACTTGGGCTGTGATAGCATCAGTGTTATTCCAGAGATGTTACAAAGGTAGAACCAAAATGACATTTATTAACAACTGATTGGATATGAGGGGGTGAGAGAGAGTGAGTTAAGGAGTCAAGGATGACATCTAGATTTCAAGCCTTGGTGACTGGGAAGTTTGTGGTACTCTTGACAGTAATAGGGAAGTTAGGAAGAGAAGAAGGTTGTTTTTTTTTCTGGGGGGGGATGAGTTCATGTGATGGAATACTACTGTGTTGTAAGACATGATGTGCAGATTGACTTCAGAAAAACATGAAAAGACTTGCATGAAATAATGAAGAATAAAATGCGCAGAACCACAGAATGTGTGTGTGTGTGTGTGTGTGTGTGTGTGTGTGTGTGTATCTGTGAGGGGGGGGGACAGAGGGAGGAAGATAGCGTGGTACAAAAAATAACAAAAAAAACCCCCAAAAAAACCGGGTTTGGCTGCATCCCACTAAGCAAAAAAAAAAAAAAAAAGAAGAAGGAAAGAATGAGTTCAGTTTTGGGCATGTTGAATTTAAAATATCTATGAGACATCCTGTTTAAGATGTCCAATAGGCAGTTGGAGATGTGATACTGGAGTTCAGGAAAAATTTAGGTAGCCCAAGGGGGGGAACCAAAGGCCTTGAGGCCACACGTGGCCCTCTAGGTCCTCAAGTGAGGCCACATGTGGCCTCAAGGCTGCAGGTTCCCCACCCCTGGGTTAGATAAATATCTTTCAGAGTCAATTGAAACCAAAGGAGCTGGTGAGATCACTAAGTGAAATAGTGTAGAGAAAGAAGGAAAGGGGGCCCAGGACAAAGCCTTTGGGGACTTACAGGTTTAACCAGTATAATGGATGAAGCTCCAGTAAAGGAGACAGGAGTGGGTAGGGGGGAGGAAGAGAACGAGGGGAGAGCAGTGTCAGGAAAACCTAGAGTCCCTGCATGAGA